GAACGATCTTGAGAGACTGACTTGAAGGGTGATCTACGCAATATTCACGCCTGACTCATAGAGGCATCGCCTGCCCTCCTTGCTGTGGTGAGCATGCTGCAAACTAGCTTGGGAGCTTGCAGGTTCCCGGAAACCCGCAGCGCAACGCAGCACTGCACTCATAGTCTATATGGTTGTTCAGGTCTAGCTCAGCTGAAGCTTGCCGCTATGTTCCACACGATCTTGCTCTCGCTCAGTCCATCCAAAGAAGTGGACGTCCGTGCGAAAGCGGAGAAGGAGAAAGGTAGGTCACCCTGCACGTCACGGCAAAGGACACGGACTCGGTCACAGCCTTGATTCTATCCGCTTTGTAGAACAGCGTCCATGTTCTCTCCGTGAATGTCACGCCCCGCGTAAGTATCGGCAAAGAAGCTGCACGTAATCTTGTGGTTCTCCACAAGCTTTGCTAGATCGGTGTAGCACTTAAGGCGGTCCTTCGTCCGTGAGTCGTCGCCCGGCGCGCTCCACTGGCCTGAACACTCGTGTTTGCCTGTGCAAGCTGTTTCGAAGAAGTTGAGGTGGCTCTGTTTCCTCGTAGGCTCTGGCCCTGATGCTGAGGGCATGATGGCACCTTTCCTTGGGAACTGCAATAACAGGTGTAGAGGGACTTGACGAGCGAGACGATACCTTACCTACCCATTCCTGCTCGGCATATCAGCCACATGCTTGCTCTGTGTGTGAAACGCACCGTATGCTTGCTGACACGGTTTGGGTTCTTGATCAAGTCCCGAAGCTTTCGACAAAGATGCATGCTGCCCGTGAAAGATCGCATCGTGATGACAGAAAGCTTTTCGCTGGAGGACGTACCCACCGTCGCAAGTCTCCGTCTGACTTGCAGGTACCATTGTCGAGTGCCCGAAGATGATGCATGCAAGGATTAAATGTCCGAAGGAAACGAGACGAGAGCGATGCCCCCGGATGCAACAGTGACGTGGTGACCTCGGTAACAGGCGGAATTTCGAGTTTTCCAGACTTCCAGAAAGCTTTTCCCGGTAATTTTCCACTGGATCATCTACGTCGCGATGCAACTCTTGACCCTGGCTGGCCGATTGGCTCAATGGTAGAGCGTCCGCCTCCTACCTCTCATGACTGGCTAGCGGAAGGTTGTGGGTTCGAGTCCCATGTTGGTCGCCATTCTTATTGCTCCTCTCAATGAACGCAGTTGATATTTTTCCCGTGTGGACTCGACGATACACATCTACTGTCACCTTACACGTCTCCGGGTCACACGACATGGACATGCGCACTGCTGGTGATCACGGGAATGAGGGCATGAAAATGTAGATGTACCCTTGAGTCAAATGTTTTGATAGTAGACACGAGCATGCTTAGTCCAGGCCACCGTATGGTCGGCCCTACGCTCACACCACCTGCTTATTCTCGACCTGCACAGCTTCGTTCTTGTCCGCAATCTCATTCACGGAGATGGATCCGCCGTGCAATTGCTTGTCGGTGGCAGCGGTAGCCTTGTCGGCTAAAGCATGGTCCTCAAACAAGAACGCCAACTCCTCGAGCGTGCGGCCACTCGTCTGTAGATACTATCAGTGGAGTACGGTAAGGTGTTTACGGAAGTCCTTACCTCGGGGAAGAGAAAGTAGACGACACAGATCTCGAACGCGATCCAGCAGCAGTAGGTAATGAGATACTTCCAGCCAATGTCTAGTAATAGTCAGCAAACTAGTCTTAGGTCATGCTTGGGCAAGAGGCTCACTGTCAAGGCCGATCGGATTGACGAAGGTGTTGAAGAAGCCGGCACCTCGTCCAAAGAATTGGAAGATCGCGATACCACGCGCACGCTGCGCGAAGGGGAACAGCTCGACCAAGAAGGTATACGTCAGGGCATTGTAGCCGGTGTTGTAGCAAGGGGAGTAGAGGAAGATCCAGAAGAGCACTAGATTGCCGAGCGCCGCCTTTTGAGTGACTAAGAACTGTTGCTGCGTGATCGTCCATCCAACATATACGACCAGGAGTGAGGACGTGCACACCAGGTACATAGTCCTGCGGCGGAAGCGCTTGACAACTAGCGCGAGAGTAACACCGTTGACAAGGTCCCAGCATGATCCTGGGATTTTGTCAGCCATGATGTGAGGGGTCAAAAGTGCATAGCACGTTAGACGTACGCCCGATGTTGATCTTGCCCTTCACCGAAGAGTCCGTAATACCGATTGTCGTCAAGATCTTGTCAAGATAGTACGAGATGAGAGTGTTTCCAGACCACTGCGTGAAGAGCCCGAGCAGCCCAGCGATCAGTACACGCTTACGCATACCCGGCGTGCGCAACATGTCAAGCCAGGACCGCTTGGAGGCCTCAAGCTCGAGCTTGATCGTTGTCTCGATCTGCGCAATTTCGGCGTTGACGAGTGGAGAGCTCGCATCGCCTTCAGCGTGGTATTTGATGAGGATAGCTCGAGCCTCCTCGTGCCGGTCTTTGCTGATCAGGAATCGAGGCGATTCCGGGATGAGGCTGTAAGAGGGTCAGCTGGATATCACCGATACTGAACATTCGTACCAAGCTATTACTCACAAGATGAGCGAGACCTGGAACAAAGAAGGCGCCATTTGCAGCAGGGACGGGATTCGCCAGCTCCAGTCTCCCTTGATCTGCTGCGTACCGAACGTAATTCCAGCTGCCAGTATGGCACCTACAAGTCAACGTTAGCTACGATCTGCCTGTAATCAACATACCGACGAAGTATCACTAGCCAACAAAGTAAGAAGCATTAAATAGACTCGTCAAAATCGGCCGCTCTTTGGGATAGCCGAGCTCTCCAAGTAGGGAGGAGGCAGCGACGATGCACATTGGAATACCGAAGCCGAGGAACCATCGTGCTGCAAGATACATGCCAACGCCGTTCGAAGCGCCTTGCAGGATCGCACCGAAGATCATGACTACCTGAAGTCAGCTCTCTGCCATGAATGAAGTTCCGTGCTCGCGTGGTACCTACTACAGCTGCCGATGAAAATCGCCCACCGTCTCCCTAGCTTGTCATTGATGATTGGAACGATAGGCAGACTGCAAATGGCGCCCAAGGAGTACATTGCTGCCAAGATACCCTGCAGAGGGCCAGCCGGATGACCAAAGTACGTCTTCCAGGCCGGAACGATCTGGACCGCACTACGACTTGTCAGTCGGAGAGACGACTCTCACTGGCAGCACGTACTTGATCATGCCCGAGTCCCAGCCAGATGTGATCTCAATACCCATGCATGTCGGCACAAGCATCAAGTAAAGGTAGCGGAGGTTGCGCTTCTTGTACCATCTATGTAGTGTCAGTCTGGGAACAGCGAAGAGTAAAGTGACCGCGAAGACACCTACGGTACCGTGTCCTGCTCGACAGCGAGGGTTAGAATGGGATCACCAGCGCCAGCATTGTGTGAGTCGCCTCCTTGACCCATGATCGCAATCAGAACCTCGAGTGTCCGGATGTGCGAAACGGAGAGAGTGCTTTCACAGGCCTAGCTGTGGTTGTGGGAATGTTATGCTGCAAGCTCAGAGAGAAGCTGAACTTGTCAACGACTTTGTTCCCACAAGCGATAGTATCGGCTTTCTCTCAGCGAAGTCAATGCTGTCTCGCAGTCCTCGGCGCGGTTGATGGATCCACAAGACACACTTCGCTTTTCCGGAGAGTGACCGTCGTTGTTGTAGATGCTGTCGAGTCCACTAGAGTCGCGGCCAGAGACAGGTGTCGTGGTCGCAAAGTCAGCTCTGCACAAGGCCATCATGCGAGGCAGCGCGATCACGAGCCATAGATCCTCCCCAGACTCCGCACCATGGGATCCGGTTACTTACCACGCCAGCACGCCCGCCGTAACATCGACATGCTACACCAACTCGTGCCGCAGGTTAACGAGCCTTGGCACTCTGCGGAGCATTGTCTCGGCACCATACGATCTCCATATTTGGGATGCGAAAGCTGGGGTACAGGATGGGCATGTGTCAGGTGTCGTGCTTGGCGGAGACTTTTGCCTGTACAGCGGCTAATTATGAAGGGCTGAAGTGTTGCAGAAGGTGTCGCACACGAGTCGCGAGTGAAATCGAGATCTGGGGCGTCATGGTACGAGGATTTGTGCTGCTGCAGAGGAGCCAGACAAGTGAGGTCGATGCCAAGCTTTTCCGTGCCTGCCAGAAAGGTGATTGTCAGATCTGCAACGACCTCATCACGCTGTGGCATCGTAATTATTGTGGACGCCCGAGCGATAGAGTTCGCATTCATTGCTATGTACTCGAGTGAGCGAAGACTTTTCAGTTCCCCATACATACCAATGAAAGCGCCAAACACGGGGTATCACCTTAAAAGCCAATGTCAAACGCTCTATGCCTTCTCCCCGTCGTGGTTCAAAACATCCACTGGAAGTTACAGGCCTCATGAAGCCACAGCCAAGAAGTTAGGCCGCTTCCTTGCAGGTATGGCCATTCTGAAGCCCTCCCTCAGACTTCCTTTAACCCCACCTCCATGCCTGGCAGCCTGTTGTAGTGCAAACACACTCGATGAGAGCCCGGATTCATCGACCCAAAGGTCAAAGTCTAGCAAAAAGCATAGCGCGACCTCAAGTCCAAGCAGCTGCCGTCTTGAGATGCCACCGACCTTGGCAACTCTCTCTTGCGCCCACTTGTGATCCTCAAGAACTTTGGCGGCAATGCGTATGGCTGCGAGAGCGAGCCTGTGCACTGTCCGAGAGGTAGCCGGTACCAGAAATTCTGTCACGCAAAGACGAGTGATATAGTGTGCAGCCGCTAGGTAGACGCCTGGGGAGTGTGGACACCACTTATGCATGCGCTCAAGGTATTCTCCGATGCTGA